TTTTTTTTAATTAAGTAAATATCATCATTTCTCTAGAGTCAGGCCATTGTCCAATGCTAGAAGCTTTGGAAAGTTCAGTTCTATCATCCAATGCTGGCTCTTTTTATTTATTTATGTCAAGCATAAATTTGATAAGTGTGATTCTCTGTTTACGTAAGTTGTTAGTAGATAGTGTATAAAATGGTACTCCACTAGGATCTTATTTTCATTTTCCTTGGCTGGGTACTGTACTGGGTATCAACATAATACTTCTTTGGTGGCTGATTCTGAACTGAGGAATTGTCCCGCACACCATCTCTGTTACTGCAGCATCTGCTGTGACTCACGCACTTTGCTGCTCCTCCTCCTCCTTGCTTTGCCAGTGACTTCAAAAATTATATAAATCATTGGGCTGGAGATGTGGCTCAAGCGGTAGCGTGCTCGCCTGGCATGCACAGGGTGCACCACATATAAAATAAAATAAAGATGTTGTGTCCACTGAAAACTAAAAAATAAATATTAAAAAATTCTCTCTTTCTTAAAAAAATTATATAAATCATGCTGTTTTTGAAGGTGCACTTGGATGTAAACTGTAGATTAATCTTCTCTTTGTTTTGCTTATTGTAAGGAACTCTTGTTTCCTTTACATAGCCTCCTGTTTTAACAGTCACTCAGGGATGATTCCAGAGTTTCCTGTTAGCTCCTTATTGCCATCTTTTCCTGCTCTGTTCTCTGCTGATAGCCAGGGTGTCCTCACTGTGGCTGTCGTTCCTAGAGTCCTCAGAATGTCTCTTTTCCATCTGCCACCCTGCTTCCCTTTCAGCAGCTGCTTAATCCCAAAGGTGATTTTACCCACTTAAGGTACCCACATGGAAGTACCTGGAATGATATTGCCACAAACTGAACACTCAGTACTGTTTCCGCCCTTGAGTTTCTGGCTAAGGAAACCCTGCCCTTCCCTTTTCCTTCTCTTTACTAAGTTTTTGAAATGTCTAAGATACACGTTAAGTTACACTCAATGTTTGTTTTTTTGTTGGTTAAAATGATAAAATGTCATTTCACTTTTTAAAAAGAGATTTATCCA